CAATATAAACATAATCACAAATCCCAGTTTTCTGATCTTTGAAATCAAAGTTTATCTAAAGCAAAATTTAAAAATTCAGTTTCCACCAGAAACAGAACACAACACGTCCTCATTATGGAAATCAATTGCGCTTGAAAATGTTGAGAAAAAAATGTTCTAGGCCAGGAAAACCTGCTTATAGACCACAAATCGACCGTAGGACTTCTCGAATGCGATAAGGAGATTATATTTATTTAGTGTTCTGTCTGACGCCATGTCCATATGAACAGGATCCTTCCATCCTTTTCTCGGACTGGGACCTGTTCATATACGTTCTTGGCAGATGATCCAGAAGTGGTTTGCCATTGCCTTCTTCTGTGTGTATGGAGTAATGAGTAATTGTTGGGATGCCACGGAGGAAAACTCCGTGTTGCCTAGACCACGGCCATGCCCAACACAAGTTATAAATTCGAACCCGAGACCCCAGGATTACAAGACCAGCGTTAGCAATCAACTAGCTTGATCGTATTTCAGTGGGACCTATTACAGAACTCATTTGATGATAACCACAGCAACATGAATGACCTATATTTGAAAGTGGGCTGATTTCACTGGCTTCTGATAGGACAAAGTGTTTCACTATGCATTTATTGTGCCGTCCGCAGAACGTAAAGTTTTGCAAAAAATTATTTAGTGTTCTGTCTGAGGACAGGTCCATATGAACAGGATCCTTCCATCCTTTTCTCGGACTGGGACCTGTTCATATACGTTCTTGGCAGATGATCCAGAAGTGGTTTGCCATTGCCTTCTTCTGTGTGTGAATGGGATGCCACGGAGAAACCGGGGAAGCCCCCGGAGAAAAACTCCGTGTTGCCTAGACCACGGCCTTGCCCAACACAAGTTATAAATTCGGGCACCGCCGGGAATCGAACCCGAGACCCGAGGATTACAAGGCTAGTGTTCTGGCCGCTAGCCCACCGTGGCGGTGATAAGGAGATTACAGATACTTAAAAGCGATTTCTGGTTTCATGCTGCTAACGTTAACAGGTCTAAAAGGAGACGTTAGCTGTGACGGGTGTTTGGAACTGGAAGGCCGACTTCAGACTTCCTCGTATCACTTGATCAAAGCAAGAACAACTGCCAGACTTCTCCAGGATCGCTCTCCTTATTCCCAGCTGTTTTCATATACCCTCGCACTTCGGAGATGCGTTCCAAGTGGTCACTAAATGTACGCCATGTACGCAGCTGTACGTCCGCTCCCCCGTGAAGCACATTCTTGTACCAGTTCCTTGCTTTTCCACTATGAACCGATCCCTCCTACACGTATTTGTTAACACTTTGAAATGAAAGGTTTCCATTGAAGAAGTTCTAATTCCGCCGTTATGCCTGCAAATCGCTTATACGTTAACAGCTCACTCCCACTCACTTCAGTACATAAAACCCAGCTATTGCATTTTAAAGAAGGCATAGATACGCCGTCTTTCCAAAATCTGTCCTGACCGAACTTCGGGGATTTTCACTTGTAATCCGCTTTGTGCAATGAGTCATGTGATTTATTCAAGTCTCACAACACTAAATCTCTATTCATTCTATTGAAGCGCGAAAGAAGTATATGAAATGTAATGTGTAATCCGTGGTTGAGATGTTTGTTACCAGACTTCACGGGGTTAAGTTCACTCCGGTGCCATGATTTCAACTCTCGCCTCGGGGTTCTGCTATCTCAAGAGGGGCATCGTGGCGATCACAATGCACAAGTTTATCAGACGTCCTTATCTAGTCAGAACGCGCGCCAAAATAATAATAAAATATAAACACGCTGACAGGTTACAAATCTTTCGAAAATGTGTCAAAGTTAAAATAGTTTTAGAACAGCAGTAAAGAAACTACGAAAATGTTAAATTCAAGGAGAATTTGCTACTGTTTCATTCAGAATACCTTATATTCCAATGTCATATCCGAGAACGTAAAGTATAATTTTACAGAGTAGGTACCTCTCACCTGAAGATGGAGACAGAACCAGCCTCCGAAACGTCGTGGTTTTAAAGAACAGACGATGGAAAAAGTCCTGACAATTAATAATTTTAAGTGTAATCTACCGTCGTCAAAACCCTTTAGTACTGAAGTATAATTTTACTTGTTGTTTTGTATGTGTATGAAACGCGGTCTCTTACATTATGAAATAACACAGGTCTAGGATGTTTGGCAGCAGATTTCTGAGGGGCACATTTTCATCTGAGAGCGGAGGAGGCTGGAGACAACTCCATACAACGGTGTTTAACCAAGCGGCATTGTTAGTGTAGCATCAACGAGGGCGCATGACATAGATGGTAAATCTAATAAATAAATTAGTCGAAAGACGTGAAGAGAAGAGACCACTTGGGAGACCAAAGCGTAGAAGGGAGGATAATATTAAAATGGGTCAAAATGTAAGGTATGGCTATGTGTACAGAATCCATTCGTCTGAGATCAGCATCCATTGGCTGGCTACTTAAAACACAGTTATGGACTTTCAGGATCGGCTTTGTGAATTCAGCTGCCGGATCGTGAGGCCGTTTATCAGTGTTTTGGAGAAAACAGTGTAGATGAAGATGGAGGTAGTATGTTCTAATGAAACGCTGATATGTACCTACAAGTCCACACGGCCTTGCGACCCAGAAGACCAACGTCGACATCTTCACCGCCGTGAGATCTTCACATCTCATAAACGTCATAATATCACACAGGACGTTGAGGAAGGACTCAGTCATAAAACAGCCATTTTTTGCTCGCCATACCCAATACGTACTTTTCTGAACTTGGCAAGTCCTCACTATATGTCACAGACAGTTAAATCGATCTGTCTGAACTACACACGGACGCTGTTTAACCGACATAGAAAGTCTTAGCCTCCGTAATCCGCTTACATCTAAGGGGCCATAGTAATCCTTGTCTGTGCCACGACCAGCGTGCAACCACAAAGTAAAGTCCGCGGTCCACCGCCTCAGAGAAATGAATCGACTGACGACGATGTCCTTCTGGGTTGTGACGCTGGCCGTGTAGAGGCAGATACCAACGGCCCAGAGGAGCGTACGGGCTCTTCAGCGAGACTGCAAAGCTAGCGTCAGAGCTCAGAGCAACAATATCGTAATCCTGACCGCCGTGAGAACCTCAAATCTCACCAGGAAGACCGGTGTTCGTGCCTTTTTAAAAACTATCCTTAAGGACACACGAAATCACAGGGAGCGATAAGTTAGTGGAACTGATGGGTTTAAAATCGGGCAGGATTTTTGTTTTCAAGAAGTCGAACGGTGGTTTTTCTGAAGACATTTGGCAGATGTCAAAGCAAACTACAGTCCTGTTCTCTCTCTATCTCTCTCACGTATGTGTGTTTGCGTGCGATCAGAAGGTAGTTAGGGCTGTTTACAGCCGAAAACTTAAAACAAAGAATAAAAATTAAAACAGGATATCCTGAGTTAATATACGCGTAGGAGGTAATTTTCCGACTGTAACAAAGACAGTTTTTCGTGTTTATTTACGTTCTATAGCTTACGTTTCATACGACAGGAAGAATTTTACGTAATTGAGATAAGTCTGGGTACAAATGAAAAGACATTCTGGAAGTACACAAGAACGGAGTCACGAACACTCGTGTTTTCAGATAAGTATTATGCGAGAGGAATTTTTGGATGTGAACGAAAAGTGTTTACTAAAAAAAATCTAGTAATAAACACGTTCAAGTAATGGAAAATCTTCAGCTGTCATTTCGTCCCGAAACCAGTGAAATCCTACAGGACCTTTCAGGAGAAAGAGAATAAATGAGACAGCGTTGGGTAATATATTTGAAGTTTCCAACTAACTGACATGGATCTGAATGCTAGAAGCTTAAAGCTAAATGCCGAATAACAAACTTGAAAAACAGAAGCTTCAAAGAATACCCACTCTTTGATATACGCAGGTCAGAAATTGTTTCGTAGGAGTCGGAGTCGGTACATTTTTATCGACTCCGACTTCGATATAAAATCTTAAGAAACAATTTCTATACCGTGTGAGCCGCCGGTGGCCTAACGCTTAGGGAGATTCAACGACGCGTAGAGCCACGTGGTGTGGGAATAATGCTTTGTAACTTTGGCTCCTGCACCTTAAGACTACAAACTGTCTACAAATAAACCGATATCTGAAATAACCATTAGACGTATATTTAAATATGGGCTATAAGTCTAAAAAGTAGGCTGATGATTCACGTGGTGGTGATGAAATCTCTTATGGTGCAACTTAACATTTTAGTAGGTTTACCCTTATTAATATATATTGAGCTTTTATGAAGGTGTCGGAGTTGGAGATTTTAGTACCAACTCCACATCCCTGTAAAAATCACTGCTTCATCTCCCTGCCATGAATCGCGGTGATCCTGATACGCAAATACGAATTCATTACGGAGCTCCACGATACTTCGTAAAATCACGCGCCCCGACAAAAACTTTAACAGACTGCGTCTAATGAAGTACAAGCATTATGTACTGAGGACAGAGTGTGTTGTTGCTACCATACAAATTGCCTCTGAAACAACAAACAACGTATATCTGTTCTTTACGTGGGATATTCATTTCCGACCTCCTGCTCCTCTTTCACGACGAGTTTTCCACTGCAGAAACAACCCGGGACACACACATCTATTATCTGCGTAAGCAGAACACGACTCCGCTCACATCAGGAGCTTGTGGCTTTAGGAACGAAAAAACCAGCAGCATCCCTAGACGTGGTTTGCGATATTACGCTCTTAATAACCAAATTAATATTCGACTCTTTGAAACATTTCATCAGGCCAAAAAGGCGTTGCTGTCTTTAAGTTTTCAAAACTGTACATGAAATTTCGCTTTGAACAGTGAATATCAGGTGTTAACGAACGAATTAACAGAATCCTCCTGGACTATCAGGCGAGTCAAATATGAACTCTAGAGGCAACAAAGTACTTCAGAGAGAAAGCTGCAAAGTCGACTAAAAACAACATCTTAATGCGTAGGTAATGAAATAAACGTACTTACAAGTTGGACTCTTCAACACTTCAGTCTTTCTTCAAACTGTATTCTGTGTCATGTCATCTCAGGCACTTCAAGGAAGGCGAATTCCATTCCGAATGCTTCTGGCTTTGACTTCAAGCCGTCTCTTAGGAAACTGTTACAACCTGTATGATGGACGATAATATTAAAAAGGTACATTTACAACTGAATTAAAACTATATTTTGTTCTTAAGAAAATTGTCATCATTTGTTCATATTCCTTGATATGTCAAAGTGACTGTACTTTTCAGCTGTAAATAAGTTTTATTTTTCATTCGTGCATGAGAAGCCCGCAACATCCGAACCTCGCCCGCCTTGAAAGCAACAAAACCCTTCCTTGTGTACCACCTCTGCGTCAGAGGGCAGCAGTGACCTGCAATAACATCTATTAATAATGCATCTGATGACACGCGAGAAAAATCTAAAAGTGATGAGCTGAAATTCATCCGGTGAAATCCAGTACGTTACAAATGCATTTCTGTAAATGGAATATTAAATATAATTCAAAAATATAAAATAAAATACATGCAAACGGAAATTACATCCACTTATGTTAAATTTGCGTCTTTATAGAACTAATTACTGTAATAATTAGTCTCTATTTGTAACTCATTGTAATGTACAACAACGATGGCTCTGTAAGCATGAGGTAAACAATAAGTTTAATTAGTGCATTAATTAACTAACTCCATGAAGCAGAGACCTTGTTGCGAAGGTTTAGCCTTTTTATGGAACAGGAAAGTTTATTACCGTGCACACAAGAGCCCGCCACCTGTCCTAAGCCAGATGAATCCAACCGACAGCCTCAAATTCTATTCACCTAAGATCCGGTTTTAATAATTAATGTATGGCTCTAGATTGAGAGCCAATTGCATTATGAATACTTCGCTGAATTAGTATTAGATTATTTTGATCTCATAAAAAATTTGAAATCTGTGTGCTATAGAGATATATAATAGATAAATAGACACACTTTGCAATGCATTTATTATATTAGTTCCCGGCTCGGTGAATTGGGGCCATACGATCAAACATAATTTCATCAAAACCGTTCGTTTATGAACACAGAACTGTTTGTTCCGAACGCCTCTAGAAACATACTGAGTGCATTGTCAGGCACATGAGGGTCGGATTCGCATTGCGTTTTATGGTCTTAAAGATTTCCATCTGACCCATGACAATTAAATTACTTTCTGTTTTGTTAGAGTTGTATGGTCCTAAAACGTCGCACAGACGAAGGGATGAATCTGCTTTTCTGTGCAGCTGGATAGGGACCCTATTTCTGTGCGTGCAAAGCGATAACCCCCCAATTGCCAGAATGACCAAACCACCCACGATTACTGTTCTGACGATGCTAATATCTGCGGCGACAACTTCTGCAGTGCCCACGTCGCCAGACACTGGCAATTGGCAGTGCATTCAAGTGTGAGAGAGGCTGGATGGATGGGGCGTGTTGCCATGGCGACGAGCGGGTTGCTCCGGCGCTAATCATGCTATTGAAGCGTCGAAGCTCGTATCAGGTGCTGGGAACAGCGAACCATGCGCACCTGACGCTACGGTTCAACGCCTTCACAGAATAGCGCTATGCTCGCATTTAACGTCGACGCCTGCCCCTTCCCTCCGCAGCCCGCTCTTTCTGCGCAGTCTTCTACGTTAATAGGCTTACAGACACCAGACTCGTCCGTCAGCCATCCCGCCCGACCTGCGATTGTGGAGGAACCTAGGAGAGCGTAGGTAGCATAGGCCTGCAGGCCAATTCAGACATCGACAGGCCGTAGTTGTTAGGGAGGGGAATAACGCGTTCCCCAACAGAAGACGCTTTCATGAATAATGGTGTAATTATCAGACGATCGTACTGCGCTGTCCGGGTGCAGAACACTGATCAATCAGTCTCACGTGGGAATTGCCCACTAATACGACCCCTATCTCTTTCTACCCGAGTCTCGAAAACAGATCTTTTCCTTCTCCCCAATATATCCGCCACCATCAGTCAAGTTCGCCTATTTCCGGTTATTAAAGCTCTCGAGTCTTATAAAGGTTTCCGTGGGAAGAAATATTGGCTTATTGCACACACTTCCATTTAAAATATCCGTATAATAGGCTGACCCGTCTGACACATAAGTTACTCTAAATGACATCCTCGAGCGTCGTAAATAAGTTATTGGTCACTTCCACAGGAATTTAAAATGCAGTGTATTCAGTGACAAACCGAAACCCATCTCTCAAACTGACACCATTTTCAGCTCTTCTTACAAAAACTTAAGTAGATTTCATTGTTTCTATGAAGCGACAGTTGACTCGTACCACGAAAATCTTGTAGTTCTTGGCAGAGAGCTGTGCAGTTCCTGCCGGGGGCCAGAAAGTGACAGTTACGCTCCAGTTTATCAGCAAACGCACGTTCGTAGGCATAACTCCACGGAGGACAGCCCATCTTCAGTTGTCACCGATACCAATGCGTCTTCATTTTCAGACGGTTCAAAGTTAGATTCTGTAGTCGGTTTCCCGCGGGTAAAATAAATACTGAGATACAAATTTGAGGTAGGCCACGATCGATTTCTTGATGATATGTGTTAATTGTATAAATTCACAGGCTACTGAAAGAATAAGGAATCTTTTGAAAGCAAATTTTATTTCGTACGCTCATTCATTTGCAGGTAAAAAACATTTTTATTAATCCTGTACACATGATCAATCATAATGCATAAATTTTCTGTTTCCTTACATAAATAGCAACGCACCGTTTCTTTGGCGGAATCTAAACTCACAGGCCCTAAAGGCTGTATCGCAAAGAGGTAACCTAAGCCCCAAACGATTTTTGTGTGCATTAATAAGCCTTAAACCCCTGGTAATAAATCCTCTATCAACTTTCGCGTTTTGAACATGTTCTCCTGCGAAAATGATACATCCTATCTTTATGCTGGCAATCTAATTTATAATGTAAACAAACCTCTGACAACTGCAAAGAGGAGGAATGAGATGCTGTTTAAAGAACTGCCTCCTCTCGCAAGTTCAGAAGGGAAGCGATGATAACTGTTGGGTACCTGAGAAGGCGGTGGATTTTGTATTTACCATTTTCGTACGCCACATAAATGAACATTATAAAGACTGAATCACTCTAACAAATTCACTGCCGGCAGGTCAAAATTCTGGTTATATCCCCTGGAAAAAGCAACCATAACTACCCATTTGAAGCACGAAGATCGCCTAAGTACGTAATACTTAATTTTTAAGTTCGTACCTAAAAGAAAACACAACGCGTCTCCATTACAAAGATCAATTGATTAATGCTGTTTAAGGAAATAATCGTATTCTGGAAATCATATGAAACCAATTCTACGTGGGGAAAATTCGGAGTTACGGAATGCTAAAGCAAATGGTACATACAACCACAGAGTTTCAAAGGGCTTTAGTGAAGTCATTTGGCGCAACAAGCCAGAAGAACATCAACCTCGCCGCTGTGATAACCTCACAACAAGGTGAGTACCAGCCATTGTTTATAAAATAATGACAACAATATGGGTAAGAACCGTGTAAAGTTCATTTATTATATTTATTTAGTGTTCTGTCTGACGGCAGGTCCATATGAACAGGATCCTTCCATCCTTTTCTCGGACTGGGACCTGTTCATATACGTTCTTGGCAGATGATCCAGAAGTGGTTTGCCATTGCCTTCTTCTGTGTGTGAATGGAGTAATTGTTGGGATGCCACGGAGGAAAACTCCGTGTTGCCTAGACCACGGCCTTGCCCAACACAAGTTATAAATTCGGGCACCGCCGGGCATCGAACCCGAGGCCAGCGTTCTGACCGCTAGACCACCGTGGCTCTTAAAGTTCATTTATAACAAGTTGATTCAGTTTGAAGAACAAGGTGTAATTCTTCGAGTGAGACATCATTACAGCTATTCGCAGTTTCAACCTGACCTAACCTAACCTAACTAATCGAACAGCACGTCATAAACATTTCGCGGCGAACAAAACACAGCGCACTTTTCGTTCAAATGTCTTCCGCAGAGCAGCAGCAGCAGCGCAGCTTCCGGTGCAAGTCTCTCGACTTCCTACAATGGCGGAGAGGACTGTCAGAGTCGGCGCATGATTAAGGGAGCTAAAAATCATATTTCTATAGGTTACAGCTAACAGACATGACAGTTCACGCCAATTTAACTTCAACTCCGATAAAACTTCACGTCTACGTTCAAAGATAGTTAATACTGAGATCCTAAAACGTGCCTTGCTTTCTCCTTCTGTAAAGTTACTTATTCGCAGTGTACGCAATGTCAGTTCATTTTGTTTCTTTGTTTAATTTTTTTTTTTAAAAAAAAGACAGAATTCATCAGTGTCCTCACACTACACAAACTGCACGAACTACAGGCATTCTTGAGAAGCTACTCGATAAATTCCTCGCCTCTTCTGAAACCTGAAGGTTTATTGCCGAGTTCATAACAGCCTGCCATCTCTCCCACTTCTGAGCCAGATAAATTCAATCCACACCCACAACCCCATTTCCTGAAACTCCGCTTTAATATTATCCTCCCTTGCACACCTAGGTCATCCGAGGTGTCTGTTCCCTTCAAGGCCATTCATACACGAAGCTGAGTTTGTGGCTGTGCACTCTGGAGCAGGGCGACAGAAAACATGTTTGCCATGCTCTATACGAAGTGAACTCTGAGAGAGACCGACCTCGCTGTATGACAGCTAGAGGGGAAGGGACGGGGGTGCTGTGAGGGGAGTGGGCTGCAGATGATGTCGCCTTTCAGAGGTGTCAACGCGGATAATCGGCTCGCACCAGATAATTAAACGTCGCAACCAAGAGGAGAAGGGGGGGAGTCTCATCTCGAAGGGAATGAAGCTCAGATTAGACCACGCAAGAATTATTCTAATAACATCCTTTTGAATACGGGCGACAGGCTTACAAACCGGGGGTGTTACCTGTAATTAGCGTACAGTCTCATCACTTCAGCCGGCGGAGGTCTGAGCGTCCTCGTGATCTCCGACATATTTTCTTGAACTGCCGAGGTCTGAATTTCCGAGTCGCGATTTTAATAACATCAGCGCGACACAATCGATGCAGAAAAAGATTTACTATTATTAGAATCTTCATTAAGAAGCTGACAGTCGCTCTTATCAAACCCGAAGGTTCATTACCGAATTCACAACAGCCCGCCACCGGTCCCTGTCCAGGGCCCCATTAATGCCGTTCTTTACACAAAAATTCCACCAGCCGAAAGCCATTAGTACAGAAGAATACAGGTTACTATAAAAGTGGCGTCATAAGTGTGGTATAAGTCATGAACACATAGAATATCGGACGTACAAAGTAATTGGCCCACATCCTCATTTCTGAAATAAACAGCAACAAATTCGAAATGTAGGACGCGTTTCTCTTCCAAGTAGTCCACTACTTTCCTTTAGTCAACCAGCAGATAAACATCGCATTGGACTACTTATTTTCAAATACAAAATATAATATTCCAGTATCAAATAAATAGTTTTTTGATAACAGAGTATCTAGTTACCTAACACAAGAGTATATCAAAAATAAGGGCATTTCTGTTATGATTTCTCATGAATTCCGTTAGTCAAGTACTTTAGTCCTAATTAAGCTGTTACTAAACTTACGCTTAGTTTACAGCGTCTTTCGTCATAGTGCAAAACGTAAAAGAAATTCTTGAGTCGTATCGCCGTAAAGACTTGTGGGTAGGTCCTAACATTTTGAGGGAACATGTCTCAATCACATCTGAATATTGAGGCAGTATGTTCCTCCGTAACACTGATATCTGACAACCTGTTTCTCTTTGAAGCTCGAAGCTCATACGAATAATATTTAATAATCTAGTCCGTACCGAAAAGAAAACACAACATTTCACCATTACGACGATCAACTGGTTAATGCTATTTAGGGAAATAACAGCTGTTTACACCGAGACTCATACGAAATGCACAAATACATCCTGTTGGCGTAAAAGCATGTGTTACATACAGGCACCTCTAAACTTTAAACGGTGCATAACATTTCAGCATGTAGGCCTAGACTTTTACGCGTATCTCGACAATTCAAACATCTCGATTTTTGGGTGAAAACTTGGATCGTGGCTGTGCTAATTCCTGCGCTTCGTCATAGCAGCTTCTCAAACAAAAACCAAAAAAAGACCCAACTCGCTAACCCCTCCCATACATTTTTCTTTCATATATTTATATCTATTTTGAAGTTTAAAGCCCCCCTGCGGTCGCAGTTCGCCCGTTCGCCCCGGGCGATAGGGGCGATTATCCTGTCTGAAGAGCTGTGCCTTGATGCGAACAGACAGTATGGCTGTCGGCTCAGGGGATCACGTCAACTTGAGGGGGGCAATGGAGCATGGGAAGATGGGAGGGGGGGGGAAGCTAATAGACAAGACAATTCAACATGGCGGCCACTTTAAGTCGTCAGTTCTTGTACGATGTATATCATAATAATGGGTGTCTGTGTGTCTTGTTTATATAGACCACGTCACATTCGCTTACAACGTGACGAGGCTATTCAACGATCTGCAGTCACTTTGGTTAGTCTGTCGAACCAAAGTTACACAAAGGAACCCAATTCAGAGAATCGGACTTACTCGACTGTAATTTGCCGAAGTATGGCACTGTAAAACAGCTGCATTGATAAATATTTAAAAGAAGACACAATAAATAAATTACGTAAGCAAAAGTTTATCCTAATTTACGATTTGTTCCGGTGGAATGAAGGGAAAAAGCCACTCGGAAGACCTAGGGGTAGATGGGAAGACAATATTAAAAATATCTTACGGAAGCAGAGATGGAAGGCGTAGATTGGAAAGGGTTCAATGCCGGGTTCTTGTGAACACACTTTCAATCCAAAGAGAAATAATTATTTATTTATGTTGTTTATTTAACGACGTCATCAGTACCTGAGACTGTGTCGCGTCGGATGGTGAGATGACTGACGAACAGCGAATTGGAAAGGACATGGAACGAAAAGGTACTAGAATAATGTCAGGTACTATTCCGCCATATGTCTGGAAGAACTGACAAAAACCACGAAAAACCACAGTGAACACGGGAGCTGCAATATACGAAGCAAGATTACCAACCACGTGACGTTCAGCGCGTATCAATATGAACACACCGAGACGTTCTACTAAAAATGTGTTTACTTCTTACAAAAGAACAGACAATACACGGGCGTAAGATCTGAGAACCTGAATAAATGCATCGAGGAATATCGCCTGCGGCTTCCTGAAACATGCTCAATATTCAGGGGTTGCTTTTCATTTAACGAAGTTACCAACAATTTGCTCCTTTAGCTGACGCAGATGTTTGAGAGCACTGAGCTAAGAGACGAGGTTTGTCAGCTCACCCTCTGAGAAGATCATGATCTCAACAAAGAGGTCTTCCTCCTTATCTGACCCTGACCCAACTAATTCACTGAGGCCCAATGCGTGTTTCTTCTTGTATGAATATCTGTGCCGACAGCAACTTTTCAAACAAACTACCTTCCTTACATGAGCGCATTTGGTCCGCACAATACACCCCCGTCTAAACACTTCACCACAATCGCAAGGCCTTGAGCAATGCAATCCCTTTAGAAGGCTCTAAGTCCGCTACGGCGAGGGATCACGATTTTCAGAATAAAGTAACACTAAGTTTCGTGCTATGCGGGCTTCTGTGTTGCGAGGCCTTTGTGAGGTGGATGCTCGATAAATGAACACCATGTGATAGAATTCCTCGACATAAATGGTCGATAAATGAACACCACGAAGTATCACATCGATAAAGGGACGCCATGAGGGGAATGTTAGATGTGGCAGAATTCCTCGATGAAAGTTCCCGATAAATGAACATCATAATATTTCGATAAGGAAACACCATCGTCGATAAATGAACACCACACGCCCGAATTCCTCGAAACTTTGGTTGAGACGAGCGAGCACCACGAGATTTATTATTATTATTATTATTTAGTGTTCTGTCTGACGACAGGTCCATATCAACAGGATCCTTCCATCCTTTTCTCTTCTCGGACTGGGACCTGTTCATATACGTTCTTGGCAGATGATCCAGAAGTGGTTTGCCATTGCCTTCTTCTGTGTGTGAATGGAGAAACCGGGGAAGCCCCCGGAGGAAAACTCCGTGTTGCCTAGACCACGGCCTTGCCCAACACAAGTTATAAATTCGGGCACCGCCGGGAATCGAACCCGAGACCCCAGGATTACAAGGCCAGCCTTCTAACCGCTAGACCACCGTGGCGTACTACCACGAGATTAATGTTCCATAAATTACAAGGCGGAATGAACAGTTTGTAAACAGAAATCATAAATCGTGAGAATAAAATGGAGCGATATGTGGGCTGAGGAGACACTCTCACACTAAAATTATCCATGCGGAGGGGGACAATATATTTCTTTGGGTCTTAATTCAATTACAGACGCTATATCAACAGTAAAGAAATATTATCGTAACTGATACACTTGAAAAGATGTCAAATTAATCGGTCGTATTCGATTTTTAAGTTATTTAAGTATCTTATTGAGAGGCAACGAGTAAGATCAAGAATCCGAAGATGGCTGTCTTCTGGGTTGTAGCTCCGTGTAGTCTGGCAGAAGTTTACCAACGTTTGAGAGGCCCTTGCTGCCTTCATCATCAGGGCGCAACAACCCAGAAGACAGCCTTGAAAACCTCAAATATTACTAATATCAAGAATACTTCAGTGAGGACAGCCGTGGTCTTAGTCCTGAATCAAACCCGGGACCCCTCGAATATCGAGCACCGGTGTTACTCACTCAACCGCAAAGTGCGGTGAGGTTCACGTAATTGGG